TTTTTCCAGTCTTCTTAAATGCCCACCCCTTCCCCTATGTACTCTGCAATTAGTGAAACTGGCCTTCTTGTTCTTTCTTGTACACGACAGTACGTGTCTTGATTCCAGGTATTTTTACTGACCCAAGCCAATCCCCCACAAGAAGGAGAATTCTCTCCTTCCTCATCTTTGCCTCCTGGCTTGTTTTGGATTTTATCTAAAGCCCCACCTTTTGTAAGAAGTCTTTCCTGATTTTTCTCATCTTAATGCTTTCCCTCTAGAACTATCTCTAATTAATATTGTCTGTATCTTGTTATATGTAGCTGTTTGCATGCTGTCTTTCCCATTAGACTGAGCTTGTTGAGAGTAGGGACTGTCTTTTGTTATTTGTTGTATCATCAGGGCTTAGCACAGTACTTGGCTCATAGCAGATGCTTAATATGTCTTGACTGAGACTTGTGTGGTCTGTTGTAGTGGGTTTCTTTTTCAGGCGTGGGTTGGACTAAATGGCCATTGGGATCTCTTCATTCTCTGTAATTCTCTTATTGTTATCTGATTCCTCTTATATCTATATGTGCCTGTTGGACATATCTACCTGGTTGTCTCATTGACACTTGAAAATCGTAGTACAGGACAAAAAAATGTTGGGTTTTTTGTATAATATATATATATTTTTTTGGTGAGGCAGTTGGGGCTAAGTGACTTGCCCAGGGTCACACAGCTAGTAAGTGTCAGGTGTCTGGTCTGTGGTTATATTTGAACTCAGGTCCTCCTGACTCCAGGGCCGGTGCTCTCTCCACTGTGCCACCTTGCTGCTCTGAAAAAAATGTTGGTTTGGAGTCAGAAGAACCTTGCTTTACGTCCCAGTTTTGCCACTTAACTATCTAGATGACGCTTACCTGTCTTTGGCAAGTTCCTTAACCTCTCTGGGCCTTCATTTCCTTATCTGCAAAATCTGCTGTCCTATATAGCTCCTTACCTTTCTTCTTCAGTCCACCTCTAAACTGTGCAGCTAGGAGACATAGTAGATAGCATGTCAGATTTGGAGTTAGGGAAGATTGAATTCAAATCCTACTTCAGACACTAGCTGACACTGGGCAAGTCATTTTAATTTCTCAGCCTCATCTGCAAAATGGGTTCAGTAATAGCACCTGCTTCACTGGGTTGTTGTGAGGTTCAAATGCAATAATTAATATATGTAAAGTGCTTGGCAAACCTTAAAACATTGCAAAAGTGTTAACTATTATTACTACCTTATTTTTGTTGAGTACTTCCCATTATTCCTTTCACTCACATTTATAACCTAACAATGAATTTTGACTCTTCCTTATCCTTTACTCCAAATTTTCATTCACTTGCCAAGTCTTTACAACACACTTTGCATTGTTTTTTTTCTCTGTTTATACTGCTACTATCCTGATTGAGGCTCTCATCACCACTTGGTTAAAACAATGAAATGGCCTTCATATTGTTCTTTCTACTGCTAGTATATCCCTCTTCAATTTGTCCTTTGCTTAGCCAAGGGGGGAAAAGAAAATCCTGCTTATGCTCATCACTCCCCTGCTCAAACCTTCAGTAGCTTTCTGTTGCCTTTAGGTTAAAGGCATTTAAGCACTTTTGCAATATGGCTCTACTCTACCTTTCTAGCTTTATTTTGCATTAATCCAAATTATGTACTGGGCAGCTAGGTGAGACATTGGATAAAGCATGGTGTCAAACTCAAAGGGTCACTAAACTGTACAAAAAGACCCCTGCAGGGCACAGGTGGTAATGCAGAGTGGTATTCGATACCTCTGGGGTAGAACGTGGAACTTGGAGACAGGAAGACCCGAGTTCAAATTCTTCCTTAGACACTTGCTAGCTGTGCTACCCCGAGGATGTTGTTTAACCTGTCTCTCGGTTTCCTCATCTGTAAAATGGGAATAATAATAATAATAATAATAATGATAGCACATTCCTCACATAATTGTTATGAGGAGCAAATGAGTTTTTTTGTAAAGATAGGTAAAGCAAATACAAAATACACAAAGGACTTTTCAAATCTGGAAGTGCTGTATAAATGCTAACTATTATCAACACCTTATTTTCTAGCAATATTGGACTACTATCTGTATCTCATGCCTGGAATGTCCTTCTGTTTCAGCTCTGATTTGTAGAATCCTTATGAAAGTTTAGCTCAGGTGCCACTTCTTCCATGAAATACTCTCTAATTTCCTTTATTATTATTATTTTCTCCCTTTTAAAAGTTTCTTGGAATACTTTGATATTTATTTCTCTTGCTCTCTACAAGTTAGTGTGATATTGATGTGTGTGTGTGTGTGTGTATGTGTGTATGAAGGTGTTCTATTCCCCTCCTTGAGGCTAAGGACTATTTGGTTTCTCTTTGTATCTCCAAGAGCTGGTGCAGATCGTAGGCCCTCAATACGTTTGCAGCAGTTGAATTTCCATCTTGAATTTTGACTGTTGCTGGAGGAGGATTGAAATCTTTTGGCAAGAAAAGTGAGCAACTCCAGGATGGACTCTTGAGTGCCATCTCCATGAAGATTCTCCCTTTTTTCTTTCTTTCTTTCTTTCTTTCTTTCTTTCTTTCTTTCTTTCTTTCTTTCTTCTTTCTTTCTTTCTTAAAGGCAGTTGGGGTTAAGTGACTTGCCCAGGGTCACACAGCTAGTAAGTGTCAAGTGTTTGGTCTGAGGCCGGATTTGAACTCAGGTCCTCCTGACTTCAGGGCCAGTGCTCTATACACTGCGCCACCTAGCTGCCCCCTTTTTCTTTTCTTCTGTTTTGGCACAACAAATAGGCTTAATCACACAAACCACCAAGCTAGTACCTTATCAGAAAATAACTAAGTAAAACAAAGTCAGAGTGATTGCCACTGGTTGTAGATGTGGCCTTACATTTTTAGTGGCCTTACTATTCATTCACTCAATCCTTAAGAATGGCTTGAGGAAATAAGTCAGCATTGTATCCTGGAGAACAATGAAAACATGTTTGGCCTAGATAACGTCCTTAAAATACATATCTATATAGTTCCTACTTCAGTAGGTTTTGATCAGACTTAATATGCCTCTTGTAATTATTAGAAGGCATTGAAGCAGGGCAACTAGGTGGCAGTAAACAGAGAACCAGCCCTGGAATCAGAAGGACCAGAGTTCAAATGTGGCCTCAGACACTTGACACTTACTAGTTGTATGACCCTGGGCAAGTCACTTAACCCCAATTGCTTTGCCCCCTCCCCCCCAAAAAAAGTCACTGAAGCTTGTGTGTGTGTGTGTGTGTATGTATGTATGTATGTATGTATATGTGTGTGTATATTTGTGTGTATTTGTTGGGGTGGGGGGAAGGGGGGCAGCATAGTATAGTATCCAAAAGTCCAGTTTTAGAATCAAGAAGATCTGAGTTCCAGGCTTGTTCCGACATGCTGGCAATGAAGCCACTGTCAAAAGTCACAGGTGTTAAGTAACTTTTTCTAAGGCAATAAATTGCCCAAGTAGAGGGAGTTTGAAAGTTCTGTATAACAAAACAACTCATCTTCCTCCTCCCCCCAAACTCTCTCTGCTTTCAGACTTCCCTATTACTGTCAAGGGCAGCACCATATTCCCAGTCACCTAGATTCACAGTCTAGATGTCATCTTCAACTCCTTGCTTTCATTCACCCTTCATATCTAATCTATGTCACTCCTTCCATTCAATAAAGTCCAATAAGTGTTCCCTATTACCTCTAGGATAAAAAAAATTACCTTTAGGATCAAATAAAAAATCCTCTGACATTCAAAGCCATTCACATTCATACCTGGCCCCCTTCTCCTACCTTTCCAGTCTTCTTATGCCTTAAATGTCCTCAATGAACTCTGTAATGCAATGACACTGGCCTCTGTGCTATTCCTAGAACAAGACACTTTCTAGGCTCTAGGCATTTTTTTTTATTTAGAATAATCTCCCCTTTCATCTCTACCTTCTGGCTTTCCTGACTTCCTTCACATCCCAGATAAAATCTTCTTTTGTGTGAGAAACCTTTTTTGCTTACCTTTAATGCTAGTGTCGTCTGTTGATTATTTCCAGTTTATCGTGTCCATAACTTGTTTGTACATAGCAGTATGTTGCTTCCCCACCATTAGACTGTGAGTTTCTTGAGAGCAGTGACTGTCTTTTGCCTTTTGTGGGGAAGGCAGGGAGGTGGTAGTGGTATTCCCAGTGCTTAGCACAGTACCTGACACATAGTGCTTAATAAATACTTATTGACTGACAGATTTCTAATCTTACCCCTTCGCATCTCCTTTCGCCTTCCTGACTCCTAAAGTGCATTGCTTATTAAGCTCCTGCTGATCACGTGACTCCTCCCTTTGAAATTCACTATTGTAGGGGCAGCTAGGTGACAGCAGTGGATAGAGCTCAGGCCTTGGAGTTAGGAGGACCTGAGTTCAAATCTGGTCTCAGACTCTTGACACTTACTAGCTGTGTAACCCTGGGCAAGTCACTTAACCCTGATTGCCTCCCTCAAAAAAAAAAAAAGAAATTCACTTTTGTGAGTATCTCAATAGTTTTAGAATGATTATCTCTAAGTAGATATGACATACAATTATAGGTAACAATGTCAGAATTTTTTCATACTAAATACATAGGAACCCTCAACCCAAGGTATATATATTAAGCTTTGCAGCAAGCTCAGATCCAGGAGCTATCAAGTACTATTAGGTTACCCCCACTTGGATATGATAGTGTAAATATTAGTCATGTACAACAGGGATTTATAAGCTTCTTCATCATCCCCCACCTTTTTTTTTTTGCCATTGGCCCACTTTGGTAGTCTAGTGAAGCCTATGGACCTTGTCTCAGAATAATATTTTTTAAATGAATGAAATAAAATACATAGGATTATTAAACCAATTCTATTGAAATAGTTATAATTTTTTAAGGTAACAAGAAGTTTATGGATCCCAAGATAAGATCCCCCTCCTCTAAATTTCTGACCCTAATAGAGCAAATGTAAGGTGTAATGATATATTTTTCTTTTTTTTTCCCAGCAGGACCCGTTGGGGCACAGCCCCTGCTCATGGTACCCAGACGTCCTGGCTATGGCACCATGGGCAAACCCATTAAGCTGCTGGCCAACTGCTTCCAAGTTGAAATCCCAAAGATTGATGTCTATCTCTATGAAGTAGATATTAAACCAGACAAATGTCCCAGGAGGGTAAACAGGTGAGATATGAAACATTTTGATTTTCGGGGTACAGCAATCTACTTTAATTGTTTGTGCATCTGTTATAAGACTGTGTCTACAATTTGACTAAGTATATTCCCAGCTTACTTTAGAATTAGTTGTAAAAACAGTAGTCTATTGTATAAACTGCTTTGAAGCTACATTTCATTTCAACTTGAACGTTTACCTAGTTATGATGGGAAAAATCTGTTGCATCTGTACATCCTCCTCAACTCAGGGTAAATCGAGTAGGGAAGTGGGGAGCATTGAATTCTGACATAGTAGAAAGAGTGCTAGATTTAGAGTCAGAGGACCTGGGTTTGAGTGTGAGATCTCTCTGGCCCTTAGTTTATTCATCTCTAAAAACAGGGGTTAAGACTCGATAGTCCCTATACTCCTTCCAGCCCTGAGTATATGATCTTGTGTTTGTGCTGTGTTCTTCTCTCCCATCTCTATCACTTTTCTACCTCTTTTCACCTATCCTTCACAGTTGCCCACATTTCCTCATTTTCAGTTTCTAATGAATTGTTCCTCCTGTTAGGGACCTGATGGCCAGAAATATAGTTTATGTATTAGGTTACTAGAACAGTTAGCATGTGTTAATACCCTGTTGTAGTTATTAGTCACAGGACTTTGAACCAAATGATATATTGGTTCAGTTTAGAGATTATTTTGGTCCATCAATAAGTATTTTTCAATTGCCCATGTACCAGATACTGTGCTAGGTGCTAGGAAATAGAAAGACCAAAAAAAAAGAAACAGTCTTCTTTCAAGGAGCTTACTTTCTACTGGGGGAGACAACATATTCTGATATAAATACATATAGAATAAATATAAATAACTTCAAGGTAGTTAAGGAGAGCACTAGCTATTGGAGAGGAAAGTCAAGAAAGGCTTTGTGTAGAAGGTGAGTTGTGTATTGAAAGAAGTGAGGGAATTTTTGAGGCAGTGAGGAGAGTGCTTTCCAGGCCTGGGGGAAGACCAATGTAGAGGCTCAGAAATGGGAGATGAAATACTTGGGTGAGGAACTGAGAGAAAGCTGGTTTGGATGAACCATAGAGTAAGGGAAAGAGAATAATGTATAATGAGCTGGAGAGGGAGATTGGGCCAGTTTGTGAGGAGCTTTAAAAGCTTATCAGAATAATTTATACCTTATCCTAGAGGCAATGGGGTATCACTAGATTTTATCAAGTAGAAGAGTCATATAGTTAAATCTTCACTTGAGGAAAATCATTTGGGCCTCTTTGTGGAAGATTAATTAGAGTGGAGAAAGATTTGAAGCAGGGAGATCAAGTAGGAAGCTGTTGGCAGTAGTCCAGATGAGAGATGAGGAGGGCTCCTGAATTAAAGGTGGTTGTGTGAGAAACATAGAGAAGGGTTCAGGTCGGATGTGAAGAATATTGTGAAAGTAGAAATGGCAAGATTTGTCAGATGGTTCAGTATGTGGAATGAGATGGAGGAACTGGAAAAGACTGAGTATACAAGCCTGCAAGATTGCAAAGATGGTAGTGCTCTTGACAGAAATAGGGAAATTCAAAAATAATGAGTTCCTTTTGGATATGTTGAGTTTAAGACATCCAGTTTGAAATGTCTTAATAAGCAAGTGGTAGTGCACGATTAGAGCTCCACAGAGAGACTTAGGCTGGGTATGTATAGATCTTGGAGTCATCTGCATAAATATAATTAAACTCATGGGAGCTGATAAGATCACTGTGAGAGAGGGAAGGATTCAGGACAAAGCCCTAGGGAATACCCTGATTGAAGGGGGTGTGTGATACAGAGGATTAGCCAAAGAAGAGGTCAGTGAAGTAGGAGGAACAACCAGAGAATAGCGTCAAGAAAACCCAGAGAGGAGAAAACATACTAGAGAAGAGGGGATCAGCAGTTTCAGATGCAGTCAGAAGCCGTAATGAGGTGATTTGAGTGGTACAAAGTAACTTGATGATCCAGTTGTATTACAGTTCCATAGTTATGGAAAATAATAATAGTTCACATTGACATAGTACCTTATACTTGAAAAAAAATTTTAAAATCTACCTTCACTCTGTACCCCCCCTGTCTCCCCCACCCCTTATACTTTTGAAGCCCTTTACACATTTTGTCATTTGATCCCCTAAAAAACCTCATGAGAATTTAAAGTTTACAAAATATTAAAAATAAAATATTAGGGTAAGAATTGTTATCTTCATTGATGAGGGAGTGGAGGCTTAGATGGATTGTAACCTAGAATCACAGAATTCTAAAGCTTGAAAGTATTTTAGAGATTATCTAGTCAAATCTCTTCATTTTGCAGATGAGGAAACTGAGGTCCAGAAAAATTGACCTGCCTAGGGTCACTCAACTATGAATAGGACATAGAAGATTCAAACTTAAATCTTTTGGTGTCAAAATCAGGGCTTTTCACTATATTGACAAGAACAAATATAAATAGAAAATCAGTATAAGTAGGTTTATCCCAATTTGAATTCAGCTAGAATTGAGCTCTGAGCTCTTACATGCCACCATTTTTGGATGCTAACAGAGATCCTTGCCCTGAAGTAGCTTAAAGTATGGTTGGAAAAGTAATTCATAATACACTAACTTATTAAATAATGAAAATATAAAACAGTTAATGTGAACTGTTACTAAGGTACCTAAAAACTCGATCATTCAACAAATATTTGAATGCATATTCTATGCTGTTCAGTCAAATTCGACAAACATTAAGTGCCTATTGTCTTCAACATTCCATGTTAGTATTAGGAACTATTAAGGAGTCCCCCGAACTTGTCTTTTTGAGTTGCCATATTTTCCAGAAAACACTGGGGATACAAAAGACAAAAATGAAATCATTCCTTCTCTCAAGGAGCTTACATCCTAATGGATGTAAGGATACAACATGTACTAATATATAGCTAAATACAGGGTAGTTTGAGTGAAAATATTATGGGTGGAAGGAGGGGAGTCATGGAGTTGGAATCGGGGAAGATTTCATGATAAAAGCTTAAGTATGATTAGACAGTAATTGTAAATGAAAAAGATTTGTGACTTTTAATGGCCTTTTGTATCTGTTTTAGCCCTTATCACCTCCCACCTGGATTACTGCCAATAGCCTAATTGATCTCCCTGCCTCAAATCTTTCCCCACTCCAATTAAAAAAAAGTCAACTTTAGAAAACTAGCTTTCAAGAATAAGAAGGGATAGTTTCACTGTAATTGAGTGTTGTTTCCAGTTCTGGGTGCTATGATAATAAGAAGAAAATTTAAAAACTGTAGTGTCCAGAGAAGGACAACCAGAATGGTAAAGGGCCTTGAATTGGTGATAAGTGGAGATCAGTTGAAAGAGCTGAGTAAATTTATGATGGGGGAAAGAAGATTCTAGGGAAACATGATACATATAAGTATTTGAAGGACTAATTTTTGGAGGAAGGATTAGATTACTTTGTTTGGACCAAGAGGCAAATTTGGGCTTGATGTCAGTAGAAACTTCCCATCAATTAGAAGCATGCAACAGTGGAACTGGCTTCCAGGAGAAATGGTGGGTTCACCAAACTACGTGCAGGTCTTGAAGCAAAGGCTCCATGACTGCTTGACAGCTTTGTTGTAATAGCTTTTGGATATCAGTTGGAATAGGCTGCTGAGGGGTCCCTCTAAAGTATCAAAATTTGTGATACTGACCTGAGCCTTGCAGGAAGATAAAGATTCTGAGAGGTAGAGGTTAGAAGGAGGTGCTTCCCAGATATGGGAAACAAATGCATAGCGGTAAAAATGCCTTTTTGTTGTTGTCTAACTTGAAGTTTATTGGTGATTTATTTTTTATATCTGAAAATGAATAAGAAAACTACAAGATAGTATGTATGTGAACCCAAAATGGATTTCATTTAGAGTCTGTGTGCAGGGTTTATTGACTCTTGAAGTAGACCAGACTTGAGGTGATGAGGGACTGGATCAGAGTGAGTGGTGGCAGTCAGAGTAGAAGAAAGGGATATACTAGGTCACTAGATGTTTAAAAACAAACTATGAAACCACAAACCTATGTGTATGTGTGTGGATGAATATTGATTCTGTTTGTATTTTTAAATTTGTGTGGTTGATTTACTGTAAAAATGCTAAGTGTAGATGAGATTAATCCTTTGGGTATGAATTGGATTAGATGATTTATAACTTACTTTCCAACTCCGTGTTTCTTGTTCTTAATACATTATTCCATTAAACCTCCAATTTTATATCTTGAAATTTGATTATCTTCTCATGTTTCATCATTTTATTGTTACTCAAGTAGGAGGAAAGAGGGTCTTTGATTTCGTTAATTTTATTTTTATTTTCAGTTTCAAATTCTTTCTCTCCCTCCCTCTATCCTCTTCCGCACCCATTGAGAAGGCAAGAAATACATATGAAATCATGCAAAACAGATTTCCACATTAGCCACGTTGTGGGAGAAAAAAAGCAAGAAAAAAATGTAAAAATATGCTTCAGTGTGCACTCAGAGTCCATCGCTTCTCTCTCTAGAAGTAGATAGCATTTTTTGTCGTGAGTCCTTCAAAATTTTCATGGATCATTGATCAAAGTAGCTGAGTTTCTTACAGTTGATTATCATTAAATATTGCTGTTGCATCAGTTCATATAAATCTTTCCAGATTTCACTGAAACCATCCCATTTGTCATTATAGGAAAATAGTATTCCATCACAATCATAAAGCACAACTTGTTCAACCCTTCCCCAATTGATGGGTACCCCTTCAGTTTCCAATTCTTTGCTACTACAAAAAGAATTGCTCTAAATATTTTTGTACATACTGGTCCTTTTCCCTTTTTTAAAAATATTAATGTATTTTTAGTTCTCAACATTCACTTCCATAAGCTTTTGAGTTTTAAATTTTCTCTTCTTTCCTCCTCGCCTCCCTCCCCAAGACAGTGTTCAATCTGATATAGGCTGTACATATACATTTCTATTAAACATATTTTCACATTTTTACATTAGTCATGTTGTAAAGAAGAGTTAGAACCAATAGCAGGAACCA